GGACGCACAGCGGGGAGGCGGCTGGGGAAGGAGCGGGTAGAGCCTGTGGGACCGTCCTGCCGCTGGGAACGGGCGGGCGTTTGCTGCCGTGCCCGGTGGGCGCCGGGAAGCAGTCCAGCTCCTTACGGGCGAAATAAAACTATGTGGGAAATAAAGCTGCATGAAACCAAGTAAGACGGGAGCGCAGTCTTTGAGAACATAACGCTCTTCATGTCTGGTGCGCGGGGGGGTTGAAATGGACACCAGTTTGAAATGCACGGCTGTACGTACACGTCGGTGTGTCGGTGGAGAAACGGTTTGTTGATGTTAGCGGATGTATGAAGGGAGTTTGGTGTGTTTGAGGAGCGGTTGCTTACACAGGGCTCGGCTAAGTCTGTGGCTGGGGGGGCCACCGGAGTTGCCCACCTCTTCGCAAGCAGAGATGATCCCGCGACTGCACCGGAGTTCCCACCTCTTCGCAAGCAGAGATGATCCCGCGACTGGGAGCCATTTCCGCCACCCCAGGCTCTCGGGGGTGATCCTAGCCCATAGCAGGTGGTCCCTGGGGGGGGGATCCTCACCCATAGCAGGTGGTCCCTGGGGGGGCGATCCTTGCCCATAGCAGGTGGTCCTTGAGGGGGGGAGATCCTCGCCCATAGCAGGTGGTCCCTGGAGGAGGCAGGCGTGTGACTGAGGGCTGGCAGGATTCTGTCACCGTCTGCTGAAAACAGGCATTTCAGTCCACTGGGTGATGGAAATGGTTTGTCTAATGGCCCAGGAACAAAAGTCTCTGGCTTCATACTCACAGATGATTAAGTAGGCAGAGACAAGGACTTTGTCCAAAGGATGTTTCTTTTTGAATTGATCTAAACCGGAGAAGCTCTGACCGTCCCCTGAATACTGAAGGTGACCTGCTCATTGAGTTTTAGTTTTTGGATATTCCCTCTGATGTGTGAAGGTGCTCAGTGGTTCCTCTGAACCAAACAGCTTATGAGTGCCAAAGTAAGCCTTGAAAACATTCAGGAAAGAATGTTAACTCACCTTCTCTTAATTTTTAGGGAAGAGGGAGGTTGCCCTACTTTAATTGTTCAGTTCTAAGATGTTTCACATTACTCTCGTTATGTTCAAATTACATGCCTTTACAGTCAACTATTTAAGAAACTGGGAGTAAGTGTTACTGGATACCTGACCTCTGAGTAAGTTGAGAGCACGATTAAAATTGCTCTCTTGAGAAAATGTTGTAAGCGGAGCTGATTTTTACATCCAGAACTTGGGGCTTGTGCTTGAAGAACCTGAAGATGCTAGCTATATAGTGGTTATGTAGGACTGTTTTTTTAATGTTTTTCATCAGCATTCATGACAAGTGACTGATCTGAGCAGCACTGCTTTTACAACATAAATGGGAAGACCACTAACGATGACAGAGAGGGTGAAAATGGCACAGTGAAAAGGAGGCACTGTGACTTCTTAGGTGCATTGGAGGACAAGTCGGGGGACACAGTGGCATGACCGACAGCTCTTTATTTGAGGGTGTTCAACACTGATGCCTTGAAAAGTAGTGCAGCACATATGCTGTCCAAGAGATACCTTTGGGGACGTGTAGATTATTGGGCAGATGTGACAGCATGGAAAGCCTAGCACATAAGCCAGCTGCAGAAGTCTTTGCCAATACAGTTCTGCATTAAAAATACTAAATTTTCTAATAGACAACTGTGCAGATGTTGGACCCTACTTATGACATTCTGCAAACAGCAGATGACAATGAACAGCCTCTGAACTGTTCAAAATTCTGCTTAGCTGAAGAAAATCCATGATTGTTTTACGTTCAGCTTTATACTCCTGTTGATACTGGTGCAAGGTGCCCATGCAGGTAAAAAGAATGGAAGAAGTTCAGATTTTGTGTGCATAATAAAAAAAAAGAGAAAGGCAGGTGGCAAGCCATTGTCATGGTCAGGAGGGGAGGGGAAAAAGATTCAGTCCAAAAAATGCCAAGTGGAATTGCACTGAGTGCTATGATGGGCAAAGCGTAGTAAGAGGTATGGCTGTAAGCATAAAGCATTGACCTTACAGTGTCAACGGTGCAAGTACTGGAGCAGGGTTTAATATGTTTGTGTAGCTGATAAGATTTCCATTAGGTATCACTGTCAAACAAGGACAGTGTGCAAGGATTTTGGGTGGAAAGCACTGTGCTTTCCTAACAGACTTCTAGGAAAGAAGTTGTTCTGTTCCAGGTTGCAAAGTCTGCAGAACTGTCAGTGCAGGAGCAAATAAGGCACAAAATAGTACATTTCAAAATTCGCAGAAGTATAACTTGTGCAGTTTCACATTTACAGAAGTGTATTCTGATCCAAAGGAATAAGAGCTCTTAGACTTTTTGAGTGGTTGTCTTTTGAAATGTCTGCACAAATAATAGTTCAGCTAGCTCCCTTCCCCCTTCAGCTCTGTCCCAATACAAGCCCTGGAATCAGAGTAACTAGAACCAAATTCTTTGAGTGCATGAGAAACCAAATACAATGGGGACTGAACTTATAAATGTTCTATTAATCTGGTGCGAGAGCTACTCTGTTCTGAAGATACTAATGTGCTGTGTATATACCCTTTGAGGGGAAACTGGTGCTAAAGGAACTGCCCTTTGTGTGCTGCAAGTGCAAGAGCTCTTTTACCTCTTCTGTCAAGGCACTGCCAGAACAAACAAAAGATTGTTTTATTTTTTTTTCCTTTCACATTTCAGCACATTACTGTGCTGGATTCTTGTGTTATTGAAATAATAATTCTTCTAATGCAGAAGGTTTTGAAATGTGTTCCTAAACAAAAGTCTGTGAACTTTGTCCTTTCTCCAACTTTTTCCCTCTAGAACGGCAGCAATTCTGCTTGTACCATGGCCGAGCCAAAGTCAGTGTGTGTTTCAGTGGATGAAGTGGTCTCAAATGGCACAGATAACCAAGACATTCGACTGATGAATGGACATTTAAAAAAGGTAGACAATACTCTGACAGAAGCTCATCGTTTCTCCTACCTACCCCGCAGACCAGCTGTGAATATTGAGTTTAAAGAACTGTCATACTCTATCCAAGAGGGGCCATGGTGGAGGAAGAAAGGTGAGAAAAACAATGTTCTCGCTAACATACAAACGTTATTGCCCATGTGGGTGGTCATGATAGGTGGAATGAGTCTGTTGTGGATGGCGAACAAAGCGAGTAAAGAGAACATGTTTTCACAGTTGCTTTTTGCTTGGCTTCTTGATATACCCACTGCCCCCCAGCTGGCACCAGGGAACTTTCCTGGAGCCTGATGCAGTGGGGTATACGGCCCCTTGCACTCCAAGAAACTGTAGATGCAGTAGTTCACACAACTGCTTGTTTTTGCCTCCCAATTCTCAAGTATCTGAAGTAAATATAGTATTGCTGTGCTGCCAAATATCTGTCCTGTGATCTTGCATGTCTACAATTTATTGTTGAGGGTGGGTAGAGCATGCAGTAGTTTAAAGATGGGGGTGGGGGGAAAGAGGATGCTTTTTTTACTTTTGCAATTGGCTGTTTTGTGAGATACTTAATTTTTTCAGAACTCTTTCAGAACAGCAGGCATCTCAGAATTTCAGAAGGCATTTGAATCCAGGATAAAAATTACTCTCTTAAAATGCTGTGTTTGGAAATAAATGCTGTGACCTATAGGAATGTCAGCCCATCCATGTCTCTTGGTGTTCTACAATGGGTCTCTCTAACCTTACCATTTCTTTTAACTGATGAAATCATAGAATCATAGAATCATAGAATAGTTTGGGTTGGAAGGAACCTCTAAAGGTCATCTAGTCCAAGCCCCCTGCAATGAGCAGGGACATCTTCAACTCGATCAGGTTGCTCAGAGCCCC